GATATGAATATTGTTTCATTCTCCTGTAAATGTATATCCAGTTTTGCCAGCACCATTTGTCTAAGAAGAAACTATCTTTTCTCCCATTTAATGTGTTTTGGTCCTTAGTCAAAGATCAGCTGACTATTGTTGTTGTTAAGTGCCATCGAGTCAGTTCTGACTCGTAGTGACCCTGTATAAAGTTTCCAAGGAGAGGCTAGTGAGTTTGAACTGCCGACCTTGTAGTTCAAACCAAGTTTGCAGTCCAGTGCATTAACCAACAGCGCCATACCAGGACTCCTGTAGGTGGATGAAATTACTACTGGGTTATCAGTTTTGTGGCATAGAGCTATGCGTTTTTCATTATACCAACACCAGGCAGTTTTGACTGTGAAGTGGGTTTTGAGATTCGGAAGTAAGAGGCCTTCTACTTTGTTCTTTTTTTAGTACTGCTTTGCTTATATGGGGTCTCTTTCCTTTCCGTATAAAGTTGATGATTAGGTTTTCCATTTCTTTAAAGAATGATGTTGGAATCTGGACTGGTTGTCTGGCATTACAGCTATAGATCACTTTGGGTAGAACTGACATTTTCCCAATGCTAAGTCTTCCTATCCATGATTATGGTATATGTTGTTTATGTATTTCTCTTTAGGTTTCTTGTATTAGTGTTTTCTTTGTATAAAACTTAAGTTTCTCTGATTTGATTTATTCCTAAGTATTTCATCTTTTAGGTGGCTCTTATAAATGGTCTTGTTTTCGTTTCAGAATTCTCTTTATTAGTGTTAAGTGTCCTTTTGATTTTCGTATGTTGATCTTATACCCTGTAAGAGCAAATTCAATGTGACTTCCACCTTCTTTTGATGGTTCCTGCATTATTCAATATTTTGCCCATTGTTGTTGTTGTTGTTTTTAAGTGCCATTGAGTCAGTTCCAACTCATAACGACTCTATATAGGGTTTCCAAGAAGCGGCTAGTGAGTTTGAACAGCCGACCTTGAGATTTAAACTGACCCTGAGGTCCAGTGCTTATCCTATGGTGCTACAGAATCCTTGAATATTGCAGGTTTAGGCTTGAATATTGTCTTCAGTTCTTTCAGCTTGAGAAATGTTAAATGTGTTCTTCCCTTGTAGTTTTCTAACTTCAAGTTTTATTATTTCATTATAATAATGTATCTTCTTGAGCTGTCCTTTCAAATTTCAAAGGACAAAGATTAGGTACAGTTTTTAAATCAAAGGTATATTTAAATAATGTCTATCAACTCTCTTTCAAGATATGATAGCACATTCTCTTATGATTTCATCCAAATTATGACACCCTGTGATAACAAGCTTATTCTTAGCTCACACCAATTCTTTTCAGCCACCAAATTCATTGGAAGTTTGAATAAATGCACTCTGATCTGATATTAATATAAATTGTTAAGAGCCTTCTAGTCAGTTCTGA